CCGAAGAGAAGAATGAGAAAGGTCGGGGAAAATGGACATGAAATATAGAAGAAGAAATAGTCGATAATCCATCACAGTTCAGACAACCACACTTCTATGCTTTGCGCGTAGTCTCTTGTTGCACTTAGAAGTGAACTACTTTTTCATATTGAGACACACTTTTGTGGATTACTTTCCTGTATATATTAAGGTAAGTAACTAATTATAGTGACAGTATGATGCTAACACATAATAATAATACATGTTTCTTCAATTAAGTGATATGAGAAAAGTTAAAACAATTAAAAAAAGGAAAGAACTTATGCCTATTATTGAGAGTTAAAGGATAGAATGTAAGAATGGGCATTTTAGACAATACACACTCACACATGTGATAGACACGTGAGTGATTAGTTAACCTGTTAGAGTATAGTTAAATACAATGTAATGGAATGTATAGTGATAAGAGAATTAGAAATCAACTTCGTCTTTCTTCCTCCTCTCCTCATTCTTTGAATTCTCTAGAAACTAGGGTTTAATTGTTCATGCAATCCTAGATTCTATCATGGTATCAGAGCCAGGCCCACCCCAATTATTGTTACCGATGTTGGGCCCCCATTTATGTTGTCCACGCTCCAGAGGTCTCGGCGTGAGGGGGGTGTTGAGTTGTCCCACATCGGAGGGATTTGAGGTCCTTGGTCTCCTTATATGGTTTGGGCAATCCTCACCTCATAAGCTAGATTTTGGGGTTGAGTTAGACCCAATGTCCATTCTTATCATGGTATCTAGCTGTAATGAGTTATTAGCATCTTTAGGTATTGTGCATCAAAGCAGTTTCCTTACACATCCCAACAGAATGGGGTAGTGGAAAGGAAACAGAGGCATATATTTGAAGTAGCTAGAGCATTAAGCTTTCAGAGTTGTATTCCTAGCAGGTTTTGGGGAGACTGTATTAAGACTGTAGTATCCTTGATCAATAAATGGCCTACATCTTTGTTACATGGAAAGTCTCCTTATGAGATTTTGTATAACAAACTACCTGCTATTGATCACTTGAAAGTATTTGGATGTTTATGCTTTGCTAGCAATTTGCCAAAGGGAGACAAGTTTGCAAAGAGGGCAAGAAAATCAGTCCTCATAGGATACTCAGAAGTTCAGAAAGGATATAGATTGTTTGACTTGGAAACTAACTCTATATTTGTAAGCGGGGATGTTAGTTTTAGAGAACATAGTTTTCCTTTCAGAGAAAATACAACTACTATAGAAGACTGTTTTCCTATCCAAACAACTGTGTCAATACAACCTGATTACTCATCATCAGCTTCAACTACTACTGCACAAGAATCATACCCCACTATAGCCACAGATGTCCTTATTCCACCCAGAGACAATGATCTAGTCAAAGGAGATGTCAATATACCAGTTCCAGAAATGCTGGATACTGATTCTACAACTCCAAATACAGAAGCAGTTGAAGGTGAACATGAAGTGCAAGATATTTCAGCTGAATTGCTCCCAAACAATGTACGACAGAGATTGCTATTGCTCCTCACACAAGCAGAATGGCACATGTTGATGATCAAGGTCCTAGGAAGACAACAAGGACATCAAAGCCTGTAGTTTGGCTAAAGGACTATCAGACCACCAAGAAGTTCACTGGTTGCTGTCTATACCCCTTATCTAATACTTTGACTTACGCTAATCTCTCATCAGGTTATCAAGCATATTTGGAGGCATTTTCAGCTGAAGTGGAACCCAGCACTTTCCAACAGGCTTCCAATGACAGCAGATCGGTTGCAGCTATGAAAGAGGAGATCAAAGCACTTGAGGAAAATAACACTTGGGAGATAGTGGATTTACCAGCTGGGAAGCAGGCTATTGGATCAAAATGGGTGTACAAAATTAAATACAAATCTAATGGAGAGGTATAAAGATACAAGGCAAGGCTGGTTGCAAATGGATATAATCAAAAGGAAGGGCTGGGCTACCATGACACTTTTTCCCCTGTAGCCAAAATGGTCACAATCAGGACCATTATTAGTATACCTGTTGCAAAAGGATGGATTCTATATCAAATGGGTGTGAGCAATGCCTTTATACAAGGAGATCTCTATGAGGAGGTTTATATGAAGTTACTTCAGGGATTTCACAAGCAGGGGGAGTTGAGGGTATGCAGGCTTATGAAATCTCTCTATGGTCTCAAACAAACATCCAGGCAATGGAACATAAAACTCACTGATGCACTTACTCAGAATGGCTATAAACAGAGTGCATTTGATCACTCCTTATTCACAAAGCACCAAGGAGAAGAGGTGGTCATTATACTGATATATATGGATGATTTGCTAATTACTGGGAGCTGCTCCAGTCTAATTAATGATGCCAAGATAATTTTACATAGTAAGTTCAAAGTTAAGGACTTAGGCACATTAAGATATTTCCTGGGAATTGAAGTCTCAAGATCAAAGAAGGGGATCCTACTTAATCAGAGAAAGTATGTTTTGGAATTAATCTCGGAGACAGGTTTGAGTGGTGCAAGGCCAATTGCAACTCCTATAGAGTTGAATCAAAAATTGACAACAGTGGAATATGACACAAGCATTGGGAAGATAGGAGATTCAGAGTTGGAAGACAAATCAGCTTATCAAAGACTGATAGGAAGATTGTTATGCTTAACTATCACTAGTCTTGACATAAGCTTTGCAGTACAAACCTAGAGTCAATTTATGCAAAATCCCAAACAATCACACATGGAGGCAGCATTGAGAGTGGTGAGATACATCAAGGGAGCACCAGGAATGGAGTTATTGATGGAAGCAAGAGTTGAGCAACTTAGTGCATACTCTGATTCAGATTGGGCATCATGCCTTAACACAAGAAGGTCTGTGACAAGTTATGTTGTGAAGCTAGGGAATTCCTTGATTTCATGGAAATCAAAGAAACAACCTGCAGGAGTTCAGCAGAAGCTGAATACAGAAGCATGGCAGCTGCAACTGCAGAAATCACATGGCTGACAGGAATGTTGGAAGACTTGGGGATCAAAGTGTCTAAACTTGTTTCTCTGTTCTGTGACAACAATGCAGCCATTCAAATTGCTGGAAATCCAATATTTCATGAGAGAACAAAGCATATCGAGATAGATTGTCACTGTGTAAGAGAGAAGATCAAAGCAGGGCTCATACATCCATGCCATGTTTCTTCTTCTTTGTAGTTAGCTGATCTCCTAACAAAGGGATTGACTGTTGCAAAACATTGTTTCCTAGTATCCAAGCTTGGTGTGATAGATATATTCCACCCTCCAGCTTGAGGGGGAGTATTGAGAGTTAAAGGATAGAATGTAAGAAGAGGCATTTTAGACAATACACACTGACACATGTGATAGACACATGAGTGATTAGTTAAGTTGTTAGAGTATAGTTAAATACTGTGAAATGGAATGTACATTGATAAGAGAATTAGAAATCAACTTCGTCTTTCTTCCTCCTCTTCTCCTTCTCTGAATTCTCTAGAAACAACAACAACAACCCAGTATAATCCCACTTAGTGGGGTCTGGGGAGGGTAGTGTGTACGCAGACCTTACTCCTATCCTAGGGTAGAGAGGCTGTTTCCAAATAGGCCCCCGACATCCTTCCCGCCAAGAACTTCCCACCTTGCTCTTGGGGAGACTCGAACTCACAACCTTTTGGTTGGAAGTGGAGGTTGCTTACCATCAGAGCAACCCCTCTTGTCTCTGAATTCTCTAGAAATTAGAGTTTAATTGTTCATGCAATCCTAGATTCTATCACCATCAACCAGTGACTTCATTCTTTTTTATAAAATATTATTCATTAAAAGAAAACCTTTTTAAGAAAGTTGAAGCTTTTATACTGCACAATGTACAAATCTCAATTGAATCGTGTTTGCTCTTTTTCCATTCATTTCTTGCAAAAAATGCATTAGAAATAAGTATCCCGAAGAATTGTTTTTAATTGGGAAAATGACACTGTATAGCCGCATTGAAAATAATATTTTGTATGTTATATTAAAAAATATACAAATTTTATACAATTTTTCGAAGTAAATAGATTCTAACGCGGGCTAAAAGTGATAATACCACTTTTTAATTCGCATGATTGGACAAATTTAATTAAGAAGAATATGTTCAATCTGAATTTCAAAATGCAATGTTTAAGGTTGTGTTTGGTATGAAGGAAAATATTTTCCGAAAAATGTTTCCAATGTTCTCATGTTTGGTTGGCTTAAATGTTTTAAAAAATATTTTCAACTTATTTTCCTCCAATTGGAGGAAAATNCCTCCCTTTGGAATTTTTTTTAAAAAATATATTTTCAGTTTTAATTTTTTCATTTTTCGGTTTACAGGTCCGAAATTTTATAAGTTCCAAAATAATGAGTTCGGGGGTTTATGTGTTTAGAAGTTTACGGGTTCGAAAGTTCGCGGTTTCGAAAATTTAGCAGTTCAGAAGTTTATTAAATTTGTGGGTTCGGAAGGTTGTTGGTTCGAAAGTTTATGGCTTCGTGTTTATTATATCTAAATTATTTATGAATATTCTTGAGAAGTTATCTTCATTAATTTGCGTGACCAAACACCGAAAAATGAATAATATTACTACTTGTTTTCCAAAAAAATATTTTCTTATATTTTCCGTTATACCAAACACACCCTAAATTATGTAACTATGACACTCTTGTTTAGTCGAGAAATTTTATTGGGTGCCTCACACAACTGACATTAGTTGTGTGAAGCTCCTTTTTGTCTCACAAAATTTGTGGACCCCAATCTTACACTTCTGGGTCCCCAAAAATTTGGGTTCACAAAACTGTGAGACAAAAAAAAATACCTCATACAACTAGTGTATGGAGATTCGAAGCCAAACGACTAATCACTTTAATGAGGTTTTGTAGTTTATTTCTGTTTTTTCTCGTCAACTGTTAACTGTTTAATTCTCTTTACAATTTGGAACATGACCACAAATAAAAACTTCTGAATACAATTTGTAAACCCCATACAATTTTTTCTCTATTAACAGCCCATCACTTTCTTGGCTGCAAGTCCAGGTTTTGTTGTCACAGTTCCATCATTTCCAGCCAAAGCACTGTACTTATCCTTCCTAGTAAAATTAGTGCACTCATACGATAACGTTGCAGCAATAGTCCTCTGTATATAATTCGCCACATCGTGACTTGATTTTCCAGCTCTACATGTCAAATCATATGGCAATTTATTCAAAAATGTAACTTCATATGCAGGACTAGGATTCATGAAAAAATAAAATGGATCCATTCCTTTCCATCCTCTAGCCGTTGTGCCATGGAACATGCTCATTTTATTAGACATAGCAACAGGAACAAGTTCATCGGTCAATTCTGCGAATAAAGCCGAAAATCTAAGTAAAAATGGTTCCCTACACGTTGTCCCTTCGGGGCATATAACCAAATCACCTTCTTCTAACAATTTCTTGATCATATTAGCATCCGTTACGCGATCACGGCTAAGACGAACCGTTTTAATAGGTGAAATGATCTCAGAGAGCCGAGACAGTGAGTATGTGACCGCAGGGATGGGCCGGCCAAGGGCTGTTGATAGGAAAATTGGGTCGAGAAGAGTCCGATGAGAGCAAATGAATAGGACACCGGTTTGGCCCGTGGATTTTTGGGCCGGAGGAGGTGGGTTGCCTTTGACTTTGACCCGAACACCAAGAGCCCAAAAAGCGTAATAGACTAGTGGCATTGGTAGGAGTGAACCAGCGGCTATACGCAAGCATGATAAGAGGAAACCAATTGGGATCCAAAGAATTATCATAAGTGCCATTAAAGGACTTGGTTTTTGAACAAGTCGGCCGTCGTGGAAAACTATAGGCTTTGGTAATTTGTCTTGGCTCAAAGGCTTCACATCAGGTTCTGGTCGTACTATGTAGCTTTCCTGCAAAGGAGTAATAGAAGATGGATCATATTATTTCTATCTTAAATGTAAATTTTTTTATATTAATAATACATTTAAAAACGTAATAGCAGGTTATTTTATCACTTGCATTTGAGACGATCTTGTTTGTGCTAGTAATAAGTTGCTGCTCTCTTATTTTCATTTTATAGATCGGTGTTTCACAGCACACAATTAAGAAGAACGACTTTTGGTACATATGAATCGTACTCTTAGAACTTGTGATCTTGAACATGTCATATCGTGTCATTTGTATAGCTATAAAATCATGTTGATCGTCAATAATAAAATAGGTACAAGGTTTCCAAATAAAGAAGGATCTAAATGCACTAAATGTATTTTAACGTGTTTTAACAGGTAACTTCCCCTATTTTTTAGGTACAATATTCTTATTTTTGTAAATGATTACCTGAAATTATCTTTTAAGTGACTTGATATTGTACATATTCTTCTACACTACGAGAATATAAAAGTTAAACTCATATAAAATTGTGGCTTTTAATAAAACAGTTGACAAAAGAAATAGAATACAAACCTTGCATAAATTCATGAAGGGAAAATCAGTTTTGCGATCACCAAGTCCAATATCAGGTGCAGATGTAGAACCAAAGGCCTTTTTAAGAGCCACAGCCTTATTTTCACCAACAAGAATTCCAGGTTTATTCACAAATCCAGTGGCTCTTCCTTTATGCATAGATATCTCAGTCCCAATAACCAAATCAGCACCTAAATATTCCTTCAAAAATGGTTCAACCATAATCCTAGGATTCGCTGTAAGAACACATCTTTTCCCACATGACGAGAAAACACGCCATGTCTCAGGGTGCAAGTCAGTAGAATAGAATTTGGGCAAAACAGCACGTGCCACGGACTCGATATCGGACACTTTCATCCCAGCAAATGTCACAAAAATTAAGACCCTTATACCTGCGGATTCAGAGATGAAATAATATAGAAGTCCAGCTAATGGAGATGATAATACTAAAAAAAGAAGCCTAAAAATACCACCAACTTCGAATGCAACAAGTGCAAAATAAGGGAAAGAGCTACGTCCAACTAGTAAAGTTCCATCCATGTCTGCTACTACTGTGTGATTTTCTCTCCCCTTTGATTCACATTTTTGGATCGTTGGGAATTTACAAGGAGAATTTGAATCTAATTTAGCCATTGATTTGTGTTGTATTAAGCGCTAATTAATGGCGCTTATCACTTCTACTTAACTAGGGAATATGTTGAAATCGATTGACTTTCTTGTGCCTTAATTATAGAGTTTAGTTACGGTAAAAACAAGCTGCATTTCATATGTGGACAAACATTTAACGAGATATCCAAAATGGTTTATCTCTTTTCTCTTTGAGATTACCGAGATCAAGGTTAATGACATAATGTTATTGTCATGCTAATTTGGGCACTCCAATTAATTAGGAGGAAACGGGCCTTCCGCATTCGTGACTTTTTATAATGTTGAAGTTTATAATGTTGAAATCAGGAAGGAACACCTTATTTATTTTAAATAAATATCCTTTTAAAAAATTATCTCTTATAGCTATCTTTTAATTTTTATAGGAAAATATCTATTTATGGCCACTTCCTACCTTTAAGCCATTAAATACGCTATGTATTATTTTTTTCTCCTCCTCTCGCTTCCCTCTCTCCTCCTTTCTCTTTCCTCTTTCAGTTACACATCTTCACCGCCTCCTTCGAAACTACCTAATATTTTGCGCTTTACTCTGATCTGCTTATTGCTGTAAGGAGAAAATAAGTCAATCTCATATTTCTTCCTTCTTTCTTCTTCCCAGAAAGCTAACCTAAGCACAATTTCAAGAATTTCTCCAAAAACCCATTTGAATGGAATTAAGTTTGATAATAGTTTCAAAAGGAAAGTTTTCGAGAAGTTTCTGAAGACATGTTTTATCAAATAATGTTGGTTCTGAGACCAACTCTGAGTTGTTTTCAAACTTATCTGCAAATAGCTCTACCTGGAAGCCCCGGTATCTCCATCTATCTGTTCTCCCTCATCAAGCTCATCGCCGACAATATAAATCATGTGTGATTCTGTGATTGTGCTCTTTGGACGCTCTAGACGAGACGACATTAGGATTATTCTTGAACAAAGACGACAGAGTTTGAGGCTGAGCAACTTGAAGAGTCTGTTACCTTTTTTTCATTGTATTTCAATGTATCTCGCGTTATTCTATGTATTTCATTATATTCATTGTCTTTTTTTTCCATTATATTTCAATGTATCCCGCTGTATTTTATGTATTTCATTGTATTCACTATCTCGCTATATTCCATGAATGTATTCATATATTTTTTTAATTAATATAATTTTTGTGTTGGTAATCCAGGAGGGGGGAGTATAGGAGGAGTATTTAGGGCCAGTAATAAAAAATGGGTCTTGAGCTTTAGCATGAGCATAAAACACGAGTCAAATATTTACATGGAAATACTAGCATTGCTTCACGGGGTTAAACTAGCTATTGAAAGGGGTTTGATGCCAGTAGTAATTGAAACGGACTGTCAAGAACTTATTAATCTACTGGCTAATAATAATTGTCTCTATAAAAACTTGGTTGATGATTGCAGGTCCCTATTGAGGAGCGCGAGTGATCCACCACTAAAGCATGTGTTTAGAGAAGCTAATGGAGTGGCGGACCAATTAGCAAAAAATGCATGCAAAATGGACATTTTTGGAAGATTGTTCACTTATCTTTTGCCCCCCTCCCCCCGCTTTTGTTGGAGGAAGTGTACGGTTAGCCACTAATAACACATGTTTTTACTTTTAAGCCACTATTTAAAATTCTAAGTCTTTAGCCACTGCTTTAATAAACTTTAACTGCCTGGACGAAAATATCGTTCTACTCATGTCCTTAACTTTTGACTTAATTTCAGGACTACATGTCCTTAACTTTAGGACTTCAGGACGACATGTCCTTAACCTTTGAACTTGTAACCGTAAGTTCAGGACCTATTGTCCTTAACTTTTGAGCTTGTTAGTCTAAGTTCAGGACCAAGTGTCCTTAACTTTTGAACTTGTAACGATAAGTTCAGGACCAAGTGTCCTTAACTTTTGAGCTTGTTAGCCTAAGTTCAGGACCTATTATCCTTAACTTTTGAGCTTGTTAATCTAAGTTCAGGACCTATTGTCCTTAACTTTTGGATTTCTTAGCCTAAGTTCAGGACCTAGGTATTAAGCTCAATGTGAAAAGACAGAGGGCTCAATAAACTAATCATTTACTAAACATTATCTCCACTTAAATAGGTCATGGATTGATAGCCAAAAAAAAGAATTAATTGTAACTTTTTAATGTACCAAGGATAATAATGTTCTAATTTGTTCCTATTCGAAAGCCAAACAAGACCTATTCCTCTCTCATAGTCTCTTCTGTTCCATAGCACCAAGACTCAGAAATTGGGTGTCACGTGATAACTTCCATTTTCAAGGACTATCTCCTGGTTTCGGGTATTCCGACCAGCGAATTATCCATTTTCCGGCGAACCCATTATGGAGAAAAAGTCTCACAGACGGCGGCATAGTTCTTCTCCCTAACATGAAAGAGATAGAAGAAAGGGTAACACAGTCTTTTCATATTAATTTTAATAGACTAGTGGCTACTATTGCCAAACATTGAAAATGCTGGATAAAAAGTAAATACCAATTTAAAAAGTGGCTACCCCATACAATTTTTACGCTTTTGTTTGTACTGCTTTTGAAAGAGATAGAATAGGTACCTTGTTACCTAGGAGAATCTCCCTTTTGTAATAACTCTTGAAGTTTATTTATTATGAATAAAAGTCTTTTATTACCCAATAAAAACAATAGTTTTTCAAATTTGTCCCTATTTACATATTTTAATGTGTCAAATTAACAATATGCAAAATCTAATTAAAGGTAATTTAGTCAAAATACTTATTTATTTTTTAGGAGTTTATATTTTATTAAGAATGTGCCAAAAACGAAATAGTTACTTATTGTGGACTGGAAGAAGTAATATATTCAACGGGTATGTTACCTCCTCCCGCCCTTTTTATTAGTTACTTTAGACAAAATATTTGTCACCTGATAAAAATAAGAATGTATTATTATTTCTTTAATTTCACGCTTGGGATCTAGTATACAGTATATGGGTTCATGTGACATGAACCCAACATCTTTTGCCCATATCATGCATATTTAGTAATAAAGTCATTAAATATCTATAAATATTAAATTGCGAAGCTAGTTATTATTTTATATTAAGTTAAAGTTGCTATCAGAGGCAAAATCAGGATTTGAACTTTATGGATTCAGATTAACAATTATACCACATCTTCATCTAATTTAATGGGTTCAAAGTTATTATTTGTATATGTTTAATGATTTTCTAGGCAAAAATATAGGGTATGAGCGAAAGCTATGTGTTCAGTTGAACCCAGAGGTGTATCCAGGATTTCACGAGAATGGGTGCACCCAGGGCGAAGCTATGTACGACAAATTGACCATCGTTCACCGAAAAATTATACTATGTATAGGGTAAACTATTACTTATTTTTAAAAAAAAATAGACTTTGAACACCCTTGCATAGCCCACTGGAAAAGAATGTTAAATATATGAACACCATTATTGAATAATCTGGCTTCATGAACGTTATTTTTTTTCAACCCAACTTCATATATCAAAGAAAAAAGATAAAGAAACAAAAGAAGAAGTGAGATTGATAAAGAAACTGGAAAAATATGTGACTTTTATTTGTAGAAAAGTTGGTATTTTGCTAATTTGCAGAAGACTTAGAGCGCCAGAGAGTTTTGTGTGGAGAGGTATTTTTAATTTAGGGATTTTGAAAGTATAACTGAAAGACTAAGAAGCAGTTATGTAGTAATAAAGAGAGGAAAAGAAAAAAAGAACATGTGTGCTAAAGAGCATGGGAAACTTTAAACTGCGGGCCCAGGACCATGGGTATGTAGCCAATTTATTAATTAAAAAGTGAAATAATGGATAATTTTAAAAAGGGTATTGCGGGGATTCGAACCACCTACCCAGTGGATGGAAGGTGCACTTCTCTACCAGTGCATTACAATGTTCACTTGAGTATGGGTTCACCCATACAAATTCAAGTATTTTGTACTGAAATTTACTGGTGCTATACAAGGTTTAGGGAAAGGAGGATTGGTTCACGTGAACCACCCCCTCCCATTAAATCCGCCCCTGGTTGAACCCATAATTTCTACACTGGATACAACTTTGGTCGCTATAGGATCCATAAACTTCAAATATTTGATTCGCCTCTGGTTGCTAAGCATAATATAATTACTCATTTAAGGAAGAGATAAAGTAATTTAGTCAAATAACCTCTATAATGTTATGATAAAAATCAAAATATGGTGGATGTCTACTCTTCCTCCATGATCTTTCTCTCAAATGGTTAATGACATATTCAATGACATATTTTCTATGTTCAATGACATATTCCATGACATATTTTCTTCACTTTTCATGCCTATATAAAGGCTTTGTAATAGATAAGAAAATACACACAATTGAAGAAGAAAATCTCTTCCTTCTCTCTATCTCTATTTCTTGTTCATGTTTTACTAAATTGCTTTTATTTCTTGTTCATGTTTTTTTAAATTGCTTTTATTCCATAACACGTTATCAGCACGAGTCTCTAACCAATTGTATATATATCTACAAAAAATTTCCTACATCCGAAAAAATTACAATTAGAAGCTATACATATCATCACATGGTTAAATGTAAAGAGAAATTACATATGGTAAGTAATGAAATGTAAGAAGGTATGATTATCTTATACTTGTCATTCCTCTAAAATCTTNNNAAGAAATACTTCACATCTTTATCTAGGTTGATTAATTACTTCTTTGATATTTGGAAAACAAACCAGCTAGTTGAAAGTATACTTCATAATTTATGGTTGTATCATTTGAAAGCAAACAATGATTAGTATGACTACTAGAAAAGGTATTTTTGAGTATCCATGACCTACTTGATGCTTGCTACTGACTTACCATTTTTAAGTATTTTATATGAATGATGCACAAGCTACAACTGGTAAGTTGTTACCTATAATGTCACTTTTCAGGTAATATAAACGCTGAATTTATGTATTGCTACTATATATGTGTTA